TCATGCTAATAGGTGGGCAAAGCCCAACAGTACCAGCAGTTTGATCCCCTCAATCCTGGAATGTAACTTTTAAACAGTCAACATGGAATTTCCTAGTCAGTAGTAGGAAATTAACTGATAGACCCCACTTCTATTCCCCTTAGAAGGGTAACTTTGCCTGAAACAATGGATCCTTTGCTAATAATTTCCTTTTCTCTGCCTCCTCCCTACCTTTAGAAACCTTTACTTTCTACAGTTCAACAGAGCATCCCTAACTTGATGGAGGGGATGCTTCCCAATTCAAGAATAGCTTTACAAAGGCAATTAGATCTTCAAATTTACTTATGTTTTTTAACAGTTGAGAGAAGCCAGATTCAAAAGGCTCCATATTGTTTGCTTCCAATTATGTGACATTTTGGAATAGACAAAACTACAGTGACACAAAACTGATTAGTGGTTGCCAAGACGGGGTGGGGAGGGGTTAACTACAAAAAGGTACTGAGGGATGTGGAGAGGGAAGAATGACACTGTTCTGTGTCTTGACTGTGGTGGGAATTACGCACTGATGCATTTGTCAAAGCTCAGGGAACTGTACATTAGAAAGGTGAATTTCTTATGTACACTTCAATTTTAAGTTAACCTGTTTTTACAAATCTTTGTTTACTTAAGTTTATGTATCTAGAAAATAAATAAGAATTGCTGAGTCAAAAAACACTTGGCATTTCAAATTTTGGCAGTCTGTCAATTTGTCCTCCAAAAAAGGTTGTACCAGATTACACCAACAGGTACTAGTGTAAAATGAGTTTGTTTCCTCAAAGGGGCCTCGGGTCAGCCTGGTTATTGTCAATGCTTTTTCATCTTCCTCATTCGGATAACTGTCATAAGGTATCTGGGTGTTTGATTTAGCATTTCTTTATGAGAGAAGTTGAAACTCTAGTCAAATGTGTAATTACTGGCCACCTCTTATTGTCAATTTTTCTGTGAAATTCCTATTTGCATCCTTGGTCTATTTTAAATGACTAACGATTAATTTATCTAAATTCTAGATCCTAGGAGCCAGAAGGCACAGAACAGTGGAAGTCCTTGGCAGGAGGGCGGAAGCTCAGAAACGTCTGCCGCCGGGCACAGGAAATTTTGGCGACCCCGTCTTTAAGCAGGGAGATCACACCGCGGGCTCCTCTCAAGACGACTCCGCCCCGCCCTCTCATTGGCCCTGCCTCTCCCTGACAGCGGGGCCACCAGCAGCCCGACACGACTGCGCCCCGCTCGCTCACTGGCTGGTTGCGCAGCGCCGGAGCCCGGCTCGTAATCAGCGCGGTTCCTCACCTTCCCCGCGGAAACTCCAGGAGCTAGTTGCCAGTCCGCGGAGTATTGACGGGCGCAGAAGCGCACCACCGGCACTCGGCGTCACTCACTGTCCCCCAAAGAGGAGGGGTCTTCCCCGCCACCACAGCTTCTCCAGTCGGGAAGGAGCTGCCGTTCAAAAGCCCTCCTACTCCGGGAACGCCGTTCCCTTGGCAACCAGAAACTTGACGCTTCCAGTCTCGCGATAGGCGAAAAGGGCTGTACCATCCAGATACAAGATATGGGGGCCAGGGTCAGCGAGGAGCAGTGAGTGAGCCCCCGGAGCGGGGGACAGCCCTGCCGTTTCCTGCGTCTTCCTTGCAGTCGGTGTGGGTGGGGAATGGTTTGTTCGTACTTAGGCTGAATTTGCAGGGAGGATGTCTGGATGTTTGTATGGCTCTGCCCCTTATTATCATGCCCTGCAGGTCTGCTGTCCTCTCTGAACTCAGTTTTCTCCTCCGTAAAATGGGGGTGACAATTCCTTCCTCACAAGATTTTTGTGCAACTCAGAAAGATTGCGTATGTGAAGTTCTTGCTAAATTTCGGATGCCATGTAAATAAAAAATACTGGTTTTCTACATTGGGCTACAGTCCAGAAAGCTTAATCGTTGCTATATGCACTATGTCTGGTTTCTCTGATTCTTGGAACGTAAAAATATTTCTGTGGGTCCCCAAACTGATTTTCTTCATCCCCAGTACCATCAAATATCTGCTTCTTTCCATCTGAACGGCCCTTTGCAGTTTACAAGGAATTTTCACATGGTCCCTTTAGCCTTGTTTTAAGTAGGTAGGATGTGTATTCCTTAAGGTTTCTCAGCTTAATAGACAAAGGTTAAGTGAGGTGTTCAAGGAGCAATGGCTACTATCTAAGGCAGTACTGGGTGTGAAAACCTGGTTGTAAATGGTATCCATATACTGCTGTTTTGGAAAATATCCAAATTCTGAGTTTTCTATTTCCAGTTCAGACTTCTCCCCTGAACTCCACACTCTTTTATCTGACTATGTGACACCTTCACAGAGATAGGGGGCCATCTCCACTTAGACTTAAGAAGCATCTCAAACTTAACAGGTCAAAATCAAAACTTCTCCACAGGCTGCCCACCCTCTTATCTATCTCAGTAAACGTTAACTACATCCTACTAGGTTCAGATCAAAACCTTGAAGTGATCCTCAATTCCTCTTCCTTTCACAGTCTACAATCAATTTGTTGTAAATCCTATCAGCTCTACATGCAAAATATACCCAGAATCCAACCACTTCTCACCACCCTAAGTGGTTCCATTCAAGTCCATCATCTCTAACCTAGATTTTTGCAAACACCTACCAGTTTCCATCCTTGCCCCTACTACTTTGAAACGGCCTCCTGAATGATGCCTTCAAAACCTAAATCAAGCCACACTCCTCTGCTCAGAACTCTCCATGGCTTCCCATTTCATGCTGAATCCTTATAATGCCCACAGTTTCTAAGTGAGCAGCACCTCTTTTTTTTCTCACACCTCCAGCCCTACCACCCTCTGCCTGGTAAACTTTGTTCCAGCCTTCCTGTCCTCCTTGTTATTGTTTCTATGCAAGAATTTCTTCTCAGCATTTCTCAGGAAATTTATACGTTTTTCCAATTTAAAAAAAAACAGTTGAGAAATCAGGAAACTTGGAGAAGCATTTTAATTCTCCTGTGAGAATTAAACTTCAGCAATCAACAGAGAGATGTTAGTAAAGAAATTCACTAATGTCAAATCAAAAGAAAGAATAGGGAAAGCTGACACTCTGAATCAAAAGTTGAGATTAACATCTGGAAATCAGGAAAAGAGCACCTGGGAGAGGTGCAGTCACCACCCAATTGGTCAGTCTTGCTTGGAGCTGGTACCATATTATAAGTGTGTGTTCCTGGCCCTGTCTGAAGCTAACAGTGAACTGTTCTTGCAAATAAAATAAATATTAATGTGATACTTGTTGTGTATTTTATACAAATGCTATGATTGGTATTCCAAGAAATAACACATTTCTATTAAAAATAACTCCTTATATTGGCAATATCCAACCTGTGATTCTGTGAATTGCTATTAAACTTGCTTGGAGATGCCTGGGATACAGTTCCCCAGCAATCCATAAGGCTCTCTTCCTCTCCTTCCTGAGTTGTCTGCTTCCTCAGGCAGGCCTTTCCTGACCACATTACATAAATAAGAATCCCCATCTGTGCACTCCCTCCCTTTGTGCCCCGACTCTGCTTTATTTTTATTATAAGGAGGAGAGGTGCCATTGTTTGGATTCTGATCCTAAATAGCTGTGTGATCTTGGGTAAATCTGTAAAGTATTGTGGGCCATAACTTCCTCATTTGAGAAATGAGTTGGGCTTGATTTGCAGTCCTTAGCCCTGCTGCATTAGACTCACCAGGGGTAGGTTCATAAAGTCCTGATCCCAGGGCTACCTCTGATATCAAAGGAACCTGACATTCTAGGGCTTCTCAAGCTTTACTGTGCCGATCAAGCACCTAGGGATCTTGTTAAAATGCTGACTCAGTGTCAGTGGGACCCAAAGCTCTAACTGGCTCCAAAGTGATGCCAACGCTTCCAGTCCACCAACCATTCTTTAAGTAGCTAGAAGCTAGATTATCTCCAAATGCCTGCACAATTCTAATATTCCATGAATGAAGTCTTTTCTTTGTATTGTAATTTTTGGTGATATAACACTTATTTAAAAAATACATTTCAGATTTCTTAAGGATGTGGGGGAAAAAACGACTAAGAAAAATCAGGGCTATGATCAATGTTAATGATTAATTAGTGTGTTTTTTTTAACTGGGGCTTTTACAATATATGCAACATAAGATACCTGTAAAGAAAGTGAAAAGAAAAATTCAGGTTCAATAGAAATTTAGTGTTTCTTCACTGTAATCTTTTCAAATTAAGTCCCCATTGATTACACTTTGCCTGAAATTCACATCTTGAATTGTTTTCTGTCATTCTCACTTTTCTATTTACCTCCTGCTGTTCTGTTTTGCAAAGTGCTGAGAGGCTATATGTGCCATGAGGACAAACTTTATTTATTGTGTATTAGTACACAATACATTGTGTCTTTGTTTTTAATTTCCTGAATTAGTTCTATGTCAGTTATTGCAGGTGACACCCTCAAAACAATTCACAATCAGATGTCAAAGAGCCCAATATTTTTCCATGCAGTGTTTTCTGAAGTGCTATGTGCAAAAATTCCAAACATGATCTAGAAATTATTGTGCCTTTCAAAATAATTCATAAAGATGTCTTCCATAGTCAAGATCTTTTAAGCTAATATTTCCCTGGTCTCCTTCTAGGTTGGTGACAGCTGGTTTTGGTTTTTGTTTTCAGTCTCTCCCTACTCTTCACCTTCTCCTTCTGAGTGGAGTCAGACTGGAATGAAGGAGAACACACACTGTATTCCATCCGGGCTCCAACTACCATTGCAACTCTGTTGCCCCAATCTCCCTTTTCTCACCATAAGATTCAGCCAAATGTAACAACCTACTAGGAGAGGAATCTCAGTAAGCCTTGTATTATAGATTCTACACACTAGCTTAAATAGCCATTTCTTGTAAAGAGCAGTTAAAAGTATGTGCCACGGACAGTTCCCACCTCCTGTGAGTCTATTGCTTAGCATTATTAAAAAATAGCATTTACTGAGCATTTAGGGCATGCCTTAGATCCATCATTTCACTTCACTTCATAACATCCAATATATTAGGCAGCACTATTATTATCCAGCTCTACAGGTGAGCAGCAGAGTACAAGGAAGTTAAGTAATTTTCCCAAAGTCATTCAGGAACTGACTGGTACTGGGATTCCAACCCTGTTCCAAAACCTGCTCCCTTTACCTCATTGGACTGAATTCAAGGAGAGAGGTTATTTGAATCCACTAGATGGTGCTGATTGTCTTCTGTTAAAAACAAAACTGTAAACTCCAGAAACTTACTTTCCTTGGATTTTAGGTGTGATTCAAGAGACTGCTGAACAGAAATATTCTGTGTTTGAACTGTGCTTGGGTACATCTTTAAATAGCCATCCAAATAGGAAAAGTAAAAATCAGATCTCTAAAACAACAGAATAGATTTGTAAAAATATCTTAGTGCCCATCATAAATACCTAATATTAAATAACCATTGGTGACTTTGAGAAACTGAAGTTCTCACAAATCCGTATTAATATAAACTTTGCAGACTTCAGTCCCTGGTTTATTTCATTTATCCCTTTTATGCCAACTGTACTCCCTCCCACGCTTCCCAATCCTGCTTGGCCACAGTGCCATCCATGTAATCAAGAGGCATGAACAGGGAAGTAAATGAAGACCTAAAGAACAAAAAGCAAGTTCTGGAAAAGATAATCCTATTTTTAGTCAATGCACTCTTAAGTTTTTTGTGTTTAGTACTTTTTTTAGTTTATTTTTTAGTACTTAAAAGCTATGAAATAAATCTGCTAAATATGGGTTCTCAGATTCTACTGTTAATGAGGACTATTTTTAAATGTTGACTTTAGTCCTTATTCCCAGATTTAGTAGGTCTGGGGTCCAGCCCAAGAATCTGCATTTTAACAAGTACCTTGGTGATGCTGGTGCAGAAGCGGCTTGAGCATGCTTTGAAAAACACTGAACTTCAAGATTGTGTTTTAAAGGGTAAAGAGTGGTAAGGTCATTGCTCTGAGAGGCACCATGGAGACCCTGGAGCTGTGCAATGCAGAGACACTCCGTACTTCCTTTGTAAATAGTAAGCTAGAAAACTGGCAAACGTCCACTTCTTGATTCTGAATCCTTTCGTTCCTCTTTCTGTGCATTTGTGGAAGGCTACGGAGAATCAAGTGCTTGTCAGAGGATGTTCCCATTTTAAAAATCAGGAGGAACAAAGCTTGCTACTTCTTAGTTGTCTATTAACTCAAACACATAATGATACTCTTGGAATTTTTTAAGTGAAAGGAGTTAGCCCATGTGTTGTCATATGACCTCGTTTAACTTCTTCAAGTGATATGAGTATCAGCGTGGAGAAAGGAGACTGGAGGTCACAAAATTCGCGCGCGCGTACACCACACACACACACACACAC